CCTGTCCTCCTTTAGACAGCACATACATTGAGCAGCTAGGTGTGGGTAAGAAGCTTATCACATTTATTTTAAAACCAGCTTACCGGAGCCAGGTAGCATCCTGATCTTATCAGAAGGATTTAGCCACCAAAATCACAGCCCAGGTCCATCCCCACTCCCAGGCCTGCTCAGCATGCCTCTTTTCGAAGCTGAGAGTTTTACGGCTTAAGAAAATGGCCGTCGGAGCAGTCCTGGGAGCAGGGATGGACCCAGGATGGACCCAGGCAGTGATTTTGGTGGCTAAATGCTTTTGATAAGATCAGGATGCCTCCCGCTTTAAATTTTAAGCCAGATCAGGTAAGCCAGTTTTAAAATCAATGCGATAATCTCCGAAGGTTGAGTCAACACCTGAAGCAAGGTCTGAACCAAGTCCAGAATCTAGCAACATAATCAGTATCAAGATCAATGACAGCCTACAATCAAAACACAGAATTAATACTGAAAGTGAGGTCTGGAAGCATCTGAAATGTCAAAATACCAGGATGAGGAGACAGTGATCAGCTAGTAGGTGGTGGAACTACAGAACAGAGCAGGTATAGAGACATTGCTGCAGCATTCTGTGCTCTTTTAAGTTAGAGTTTTCAGATCACCATCCAGCACATAGCTTTAGGTTATTGGTGGGATCTAAGAGATGTTCTATTTATGAAGCAAGTTACTTTCATTGGACTACAACTCGAAGACTCTCCTATGCTTCCTGGGGGATTCTGGAAGTTCCAGTCCTTAACAATAACTTTCCCAGGTGCTGCACTGGAGGAGTATCTTGCTTTAATTATTTTATATATGAGGAACTCTTATTCCACAGACTGACTCTGCGGTATGTGGTGACTGAGGCTACACTGTAGGAGTTAAGAGCTCCCTAGGACAGGTGACTGCTCAGCTTCCCCTTTAGTTCACAATGCGGGTCTCTCTGTCTACATTTTTTTGGTGAGGCCCAGGTGTACTATTGGCCAACATGGCTGAGGCTTCTGGAAGCTGAAGGCCCTCGGCCCTTAAAGGGGAAAGGTTGCCTACCCCTGGGTGAGGCCCAAGGTGATCAAGAAGGCAGTTGCCTTCCAACACCAGGTGGTCTTGGGTGACACACACTTTCTTGGCCAATTGCAAACCAGCTTCAGAGCAGGATACGGAATTGAGACTGCTATGGTCACCTTAGTGGATGATCTCTGAGCATTGAGAAGGGGAGTGTATTCCTGTTGGTGCTCTTGGATCTCTCTATGATATTCGATACCATTGACCATGGTATACTTCTGGAATGCCTGAGGGGGTTGGGAATTGGAGGCACTGTGTTACATTGATTCCTGTCCTACCTCTAAGGCAGGTTCCAGATGCTAGTGTTTGGGAATAGCTGTTCCTCAAAAAAGAAGTTGTTATATAGCATACCACAAGTGCCATTCTACTCCCAATACTATTTAACATCAACACGAAACCACTGGGGGAGATCATCCAGAAGAATGGGGCAGGATATTATCAGTATGCTGATGACACCCAAATATACTTCTATATGCCTTCAAAAACAGTTTCAGCTAAGGATAGTGTGTCTCTTCTGAATAAATGCTTGGAAGAGGTAATGGGCTGGATGAAGAAAAACAAATTGAAACTGAATCCAGACAAAACAGAGATGCTTACTATCAAGAGTCCTAATCTGGGGCTGGAAGTGTGCCAACCAGTTCTGGGCAGGGTCACACTCCCAAAGAACATTGTTTTCACAGTTTGGGAGTTCTCCTGGATCTGTCCCTCCAAATGTCAGCTCAGATAGATGTGATGATCAGGAGTGCCTATTATCAGCTTTGGCTGATATGCCAACTGTTCCCCTTCCTAGAATTGGAGGATCTAAAGATGGTACAAATCTTGCCAAGAAAATCCCATGATACAATAACTTTCCCAGGTGCTTATTTACTTAGGGTCACCATAAGTAAAAAAACAACATGAAGGCATACAACATACACACAAAGACAGTAGTAGTACACGGGCTGGTAACCTCAAGGCTGGACTTCTGAAATGTGCTATATGTTGGGCTACCTTTGTACCAAGTCTGAAAACTCCAACTGGTCCAGAATATGGCAGCCAGACTGATTACGAGTACATCCAGGAGTTACACTGATCTTAAAAGCATTCCATTGACTGCTAGTTAGTTTCCAGACAAAGTACAAAGTGTTGGTTATTACGGTACCTTTAAAGCCCTACATGGTTTGGGTCCAGGTTACCTACAGGATCACCTTCTCCCACACAATCTACCCTGTATACTCAAATCCTCTGGGAAATGCTTGCTCCAATTGGGCAGGACTAGATTGGCAACTGCTTCCCAGAGTACTTTTTAGTGGGCTGCCCCCAGACTGTGGAATGACCTGCCAGAAGAGATATGACAGCTGAAAAAGCTGAATGCATTTAAAACAGGATTAAAGCAATATCTTTTCTGGCAGGTCTATCCAGTCAATTTTAAATCATGACTTTTTCATCTGTATGTGAAATCTTATGAGTGCATTTTAATGATTTTATACTATTGTATTTTAACTATGGGTTAGTGCACTTTAACATGCTGTTCCCCACCTCGAGCCTTGAGGAGATGTGGGAAATAAATAAATAAATATTACAGTTTGAAGTGGGCTTTAAATGGTTGTCTCCCCCATGGGCCAGGATCCCTGTAATCTGCCCTAACCTGCCCCCCTGCCTGCTCTTCTGCAGTGTTTGGATTGGACAGATCCATGTTAAGGAGTCTATCAATGGGGAAAGACACCACCTCCCTAAACCAGAGGTCAAGGTTGTCAGATATTGTGATTCCTCTCCCTACTTCATAGCAAATGAAGAACCAAACATTTTTTGCTGCATGAAAAGTCCAGATTCTGTGTTAACTGCCTCCCCACCACCACACACAATGAGATCAAGAGCTGAAAAAACTTTATTGTACCATTCGGACCTCTGCCTGAATGTATGCCTTAATTTCTTGCTTGTCCTAATCCAGCAGTGCCATTTACAGCTGGTTGCTTTACTCCACTACATGATAGCGTGAGCTCTGCCAAAGATCTTCACTCCTGTTGCATATTTGCTTTACAAGAGATCAATGAAGGATCTCTGTATCCTAAAAGAAACTGGAACAGATGAAGATGGTAGATGCAGGGTTGCTAATAGGCAGCATAGAAACTGAAGGGACAAGCTATGAGGGAATTTAGACATCCTGGAAGTTGGTGGGATTGTGATTTCAAAGTTTCTGCTATTATGTTATGCACAAAAACAACCCACATTAGTAAGTGGGAGAAAATGTAAAAAAAATATTGAAATGTATGAAGAGGCTCTGCTTCTGATTCATACACAGGTTTTTCGTTACTGTCCTGAGGACTAGAATCCCCCCCTTTTTTTTGTTTAAAAATATAAAAGTTAAAAGGGGGAGCCATTGTTTTATGAAACTCACTGGGTGACCTTGGGGAAGTCACAGTCTCTCAGCCTCAAGAGAATGGCAATGGGAGACCTTCTCTGAAGAAATATGCCAAACCCCCCCCCCAAAAAAACACACAAAACTAACAAACCCCATGATAGGCCTTAGGGTCACCATCAATCAGAAGCGACTCGAAGGCACACAACAACAACAAATTGCTTATTTGCCACATCTATATGTGACATGTGGGATCAGAATCTCCTATTTATTTAAGATCTGCCAAAGTGGTAGGATAGGCAAACATCAAATTAGAGCCATGGTTCTGAAAAAGGAGCATTTGATCCTTTTACCCTGTATCATTTTCCTAAAGTAGACTATTGTTTTTCTCTCTCACACACACTCTCCTACAACCTGCCATTTATTATCGTGGTATCTGTATATGTTTCTCTTCCCTGGAACAGGCAGGAGATGGGCTAGATTGCAATGACTTCTTTTTGCTACATGTCTTCAAGTCGACTTGACTTATGGTGATCCTGTCCTAGGGCTTTCTTGGCAATATTTGTTCAGAGAATGTTTGCCAATGTTTTCCTCTTAAGACTGAGAATGTGCCAAGGTAACTCAGTGGATTTCTATAAATTCAAACTCTGGTCTCCCAGAGTCCTGGTCCAGACTCAGTCCATTACACCATGTCAGCTCATTCCAGCCCTGCTCCCAATACTCAAAACCTCAAAAACGATGGAGGAAAGATACTTTTCACTTTATACTCCCCCCCACATCCAATCTCAAGAGATCTTTATCATAGTCTTCCTGCATCTGATCTATAGTCTGAGTGTCCATAACAGAGAGACAGAGAAAGAGAAAAGAGTGAAGACCACAAGAAAGTAAATAATAATGAAATAAATTAGGAGGCTGAAATGAATGAGGAAAATAAAGGGATTTTTGATGTTTTTTTTAAAAGCAAGAAACAATGACCCACTGCAAAAACAATCTGTTGTTTCCCCCCTCTCTTTGGCACACATGTTTTAAAGAGAGCTGGTTATCACATTCAGCCTTTTCTGGGATCTATTAGTGTTAACATCACAGTTGCCTGGAGGCAAGCAACACAGCCCTTCAGTCATTAGTTGAATAGGAAAAGAAAGAAAGAAAGAAAGAAAGAAAGAAAGAAAGAAAGAGCAAGCAAGCTGCAGAAGCAACTGCATTTTGGGACTTTGTCAAAGTTCTTGTGGGGACTCTCTCTATCCAGGAAACAACAGACAGCTAAGGAAGGCAAATGGGAACTTAGCAAAAAAATGAGCTGTCATTTATCCTTGGGTAACTCTCCATTTTGGAATACAAGTCCAAATAATTCAAAGTGCGCAAAAGGGGGAAGGAAAAAGGGAATCTAGCAGCATCTTTCAGATTAATTGTTTTATGTTTTAACGCGAGCTTTTTTGGATAATGATCCACTTTCTTGGACCGAATACGTCACAAAACTACAAGTCCCATGTTTCCAAAGAAAGAAGCAATAGTAGTTAAAATCTAATCAAACTGCTCTAACCGTGTGATGCAGCTTCACTCATGTTAGACATGTACACAAGAATCATGCATAATGAGAGTCAGTGTGGCGCAGTGGTTTGAGTTTTGGCCTACAACTCTGGAGACCAGGGTTCGATTCCCTCACTTGGTCATCAAACCCATTGGGTGATCTTGGGCTTATCCTCAGGGGAAGGCAACGGCAAACCTCCTCTGAATAAATCTTGCCAAGAAAACCCCATGATATGTTTGCCTTAGGTTCACCGTAAGTTGGAAAAGACTTGAAGACTTGTAGAGAAAATGGGAAAAGGCTAAGGTTTTTTGGGTGGTTGGTTTTTTTTTTTTTTTTGGTATTCTGATATTCTCTGATATTCTCAAAACTGGACTCTCCACTGTAATTGAAAAGTGGGGGATTTATAACACAATGGGAGATTTAGGCCACAAAAATATAATTAAATTATGGAAATCACTTCCAGAAGAAAATAATGGCTACCCACTTGGCCAGCTTTAAAAGAGGATCAGACAAATTCATGCAAAGTAGGGCCTATACAGACTGCCAGAAATAATCCAACTTGAGGCCACTTTAACTGTCCTGGCTCTGTCTTAGGGAATCATGGGAATTGTAGTTTTTTTCTGAGACACTGAGCCTTTTCTGTCAGAGAGCTCTGGTGCCACAATAAACTACAGTTCCCATGATTCCTTAGCACTGAGCCAGTACAGTTAAACTTAAAGTTGTCTCAAGCTGGATTATTTCTGGCAGTCCGTATAGGCCCTAAGGCTATATCAGTGTTTGCTTGTCATGACTGGTTGAACGTGAGTTTACCTCAGTTAATGAAGTAGATGTGTTCCTGAGCATTTCTTCTTTAACAGAAAATTTGGTAAGAGAAGCATAACAACATTGGAAAAAAGGGATAGCTTCCTACATTGCAAATAAATAAATAAATAAATAAATAAAATTAAGAGATTAAGAAAAAAATTCTACTATGTCTTCAGTGATCTTCTTGAATTCATAATTTCCTCTTCCACAAACTTTGTATTCAACAGTAGACAATATTTACTGGGGAGAGGAATCATCAGTAACAGATGGTACACCCATAGAGTTGCTTCAAGCTACAGAATCTATGCTAGTTCTAACTAAAACCTTTCAATAAATATGGAAAACAAAACAATGGTCCACAAATTGGAAAGGTTCAATATATATTCCAAAGGGGACACTTGGGATTGCATTGATTTCCCATGCAACCAAAGCTCTCTAACAGAGCAGGTTTCATATCTTACATAACTACAAATCCCAGAATTCCACAGCTTTGAACCATGGCAGTTAAAGTGGTGTCAAACTGCATTAATTCTGCAGTGTAGATGCAACCCCAGTGCCAATGCTAGGCAGCTAGACTTTCAGCTAGACAAAGAAGAAAGGGATGAGGGCTGGGGCAGGTGTATAAAAGCTTTGTAAAAAGGAACTTCACTGTCAGAGACTTTGTTAAGTGAGGTATGCCTGTATTACCTCCAGTGTCCAAGGTAATTGCCTCTCAATACCAGTTTAGCCTTGGTGGCGCAGTGTGGTTGAATGCTGGTACTGCAGCCACAAGGTTGTGAGTTTGATTCCAGGGACTCCAAGGTTGACTCAGCCTTCCATCCTTTCACAGGTCGGTAAAATGAGTACTTGTTGGGGGCAATTAGCTTACAGATTGAAACTGCTGAGTGCTAAGTTAATAATAATAATAATATAATTTATTTATATTTCCCGCCTCTCCCTACGGATTGAGGCGGGAGTACAAAGATAAAATGTACAAAATGTACAGTAGTGCAATCAATAATAATAATAAAATAACAATAAAACCACAACAGTAATAAAAAGAACAATAACAGTTCACTGATAAGCGGTACAGAAATGTACATGCTACTGCTATTGCCAGGGAACGAAAACAGGAGGGACTTCTGCACTCTTGCCTAGGGTGACCAGATATTCTAACCACAAAGGAGGACAAGGACCAGAAAATGCAAGGCATTCAAGAAAAAATGGAGGACATGACCAAATAAAAGCTAAAAACACTCATATTAATATAAATTCATACTTCTTAGTCATGCTCAAAATTCCTCCTGGACAGAAGGTTGGAATGTAGGGCATGTCCTGGAAAAGGAGGACATCTGGTCACCCTGCTCTTGTCCTGCCAGTGGGCTTCTGGGTAGCCTTAGTAGAAACATAACTTTGCACGAGATACCACAGCTCTACTTACATTGTTAACATGCTTAAAAGCCACCACACACACACAACAAAGAGGGTGGTATATACAGTAATTTGTTTTTGGCAAGCAAAAGGGCTCTTTGTTTCCTGTCTCCGCAATGGTAGGTCCTCCAAATGAGAGGTACAATGTTCGGCCAACTCTTAACTTACTGTAAAGCTCGTGGCACAAATGGAATTGCCATTAGATGATAGTCTCCCTCTCTCCAAGCAGAGGGCCAGCCAGCACAGTGAGTGAAGCAAGTAATAAATATAACATGAACAGCAGCGCAAACGCCATTGATCTGAAAACATCCCTCCTCGCCAAGTTCATTTGTGCTTTTTAATGGATCCCTTTTTCTCCTGCAGCTGTATGAGGGCTCGGAAAGAATGAGAGAAGGCGGGAGAGCCCCCTTTAATAATTAGTTTTTAGAGCGTGCGGTGCAGCTATTTGGGGAGAATTGCAGGTGGGACACGAAAAGTCATTGTTTACTTGGCAAATGAACTCGACGTCTGAATAGCTTCTGTACTCTAGATTGTCACCTGGGATTGAAAGAGAGAGAAGAGAGACACTAAATATGACAAGGAAGTGTTGTGCCAAGGGACAATTCTGAATGGCAATTAGACCCTGAGGTAGTGGCTTTTTAAAGAGTCTCTGCCAGGAAGACTCTTTTAAAAAAATCCACTGACTCAGTATCTAAATACCATTCAGCACTGGGTCTGCTGAGACCAGACCTGTGAAGAGACTCTTCAGTTTATATATATGGTTTCCCTTGGAGGAGTTGCTGAACAGAGTGTAGTCCTTGAAACTGGTTTTAAGTAGGACTTAAACCAGGTCTGGCTGATTTGGACAGATCTGCATCAGGTCCAAACAGGGGTGGATCTGTCCTAACCCAATCCAAATCAATTTGGATTAATTTGGATTGTAAAAGAAAGTTGAACAATGTATCTCTACAATGGTGCATAACTAGGGTTGTGCTATTCCAATTCCTCAAATTCAGGCATTTACTCTGCATATTATGCATATTATTATACAGTCGGCCCTCCATTTTCGTGGGGGATCCGTTCCAGATCCCCCTGTGAAAGCGGAGACTCACCGATATTCAAGCCCCATAGACTTGAATGGGGCATGCCCCTGCGGGTGCGTGCGGGTGCATGCCCTATTGAATTTAATGGAGGTTGCCCCTCCGTGAATATTCAAAACCGCAGACATCAAGTCCGCGAGAATGGAGGGGCGACTGTACACTAATTTACATCCCAATTATGCAAATTAGGCAGATTAATTGTATTTTTTTCTCCTACTATATTCCAAACTTCATATCATTTGGTACAGTTATAATTGATTTGAGAGAACCAGTATAATGTAATTTTTAAGTGCTGGACATGGAGCAGGGAGACCCAAATTCAAATCTCTCTTCATCATGGAATTAACTATGTGACCATCGTCCACCACAAACCTACCTTACAGGATTGTTGTGGAGATTAAAAAGGAGACGGAAGCCATATGAAGTGAACATGTACATTCATAGTGCAGTACAAATAAAAGAACAACAATATTAACATTGTACATGTATAGGCACTTCTAGTAGTATTCTCCTAAGATCACTATTTTTGCCATCAGTTTTTCAAAGATGGCAAGAAGCTACAGATGCATAAAAATACCACAGAAAGCCCATGAGAGTGACTGTCACCTGAGTCACAGGGCAAGAGGCAGAGGAAAGAAGAAATTTCAGGGGAAAACAGCATAGTCTGATTTCCTTCAGAGATACAGAATAAAATGTTGTTATAAGTAGAAAATAGTCTCTTATAAGTAACTTTCACTAATTGACAGTTCATTAAAATGTATATGCTAAACACCCAATTATGGTTTGTTAATGCCAGTTAAGGTAATGATAAACATTTGTACTTTTTACATTTCCATTTCCTTTCACCACACTCATTACATCCTTCCACCTCAACCATGTGTATTAATAACGGCCAACTGAAGCATCTCTCCAAGCATCTGGTGACATGGGCTACAGTCAGCAAAAGCTTATGCCAAATAAAACTTGTGAGTTTTAAGGGTAGGTACTGGTGGGTAGATAAGGGCAGATGCTAAACGCTGGGTATTTTTTAAGCTTATCGCACCAGTACCTGTAACGTTCCCATCGAGTCCCTGGAATGTAATGATATGGGAATGGGTGTTATCGTATTAGACTATTGATAACGCGATAGTAACTTGATGAGAACATATATTATCGCACTGCATTTACTGTTGTACCAGTACCGGCGCTAAAGTAGTTCCTCAGCCATCCCTCATTGGCGCATGCTCACTGTTGCGAAAACCCCTATATCTGCATTGGAAAGAATGCTACCAAGAGGTTTAGGTAGCGAGCATTGATTGTTTTTTCTTGTAAACACAACACAATTCAATCTACAAAAATATTTTTTTAAATTACCTGTGGCACCTTCCTTGCATCAACACTGGAAGAATTGAGTTGAGTTTGTGGATGTTCTAGGGCAGGAGGGGAGAAGGTTGTCTTAGCCAATCAGAACATGAGGACAGATTGAGACCAGGTAGGATTATCGCACACACATCATCCGGAATGGTCTGAAAGCGTTCTTGGTGGCTGAGGACACATTTTTACAGTTCTCCTCCTGGAACGGGTTAGGGACTGTCAGAGCACACAGAGTGGGAACTCGATGAGGATCATATCATGCGATAAAATACATTCCGTTCCATTCTCATCACATACTCATTACGTTATGAGAACACAATGTGATAAGCTTATTTGTTTTGCTTTACTTTGTTGTTGTTAGCTGCCCTCGAGTAGACTTCGACTCATGGTGACCCTGTGGAAGAGACATCTCCAAGATCCTCTGTCCTCAACTTCTCTGTTCAGATCCTGCAGGCCCAGGATCATGTCTTCCCTGATTGAGTTTAACTGGTTGGCA